TTTCCCAAACTGACTAATAGCAGGGGACCATCAGTTGTTAGTTAATAAATTTGTCTTTGGGGTGAACTAGAAAATAGAAATCCGTTAATACCAACGTTAAATAAATAAAGTATAAAACTTTTATATTAAAATATATATAAATAAATAAAACAAAATTTAAATAAAAAATGTTGTCCTTGTGCACATACTTCATCTTCACAGATGTCCAAGGTGCACATACTCCATCATCATAGAATCTATGCGGGTAGGGGAACTTTTTTAACCATTACCCCCAAAATTGTTTACCCCTTCATGTTTGATATAATTACTTTAAAATTGGGACTTTTTGATGTAAGAGCAATTTGAATATACAGTCTTCGGCGTTAAATCGATTTCTGTTTTTCGTTTTTAAGTTCATTAGAGTGGAAAAGCCTTGTTCACAAAGGTAGGTTGTTGCAAATGGCAGCAATTTTTTTAACCGCCTCCTCATGTGCAATTTTGAAAGCCTTTGCAGCCTTTGACAACCAAAAAGACGACAAGATTTGCTTTGGTCTCAAATTGAATACAGTATTGGATGGAAGTTCAAGAATTGCCTCTGCCAAACCTGGAGGTTCTTCTGGTATGTTAGTAATTTCACATTTAAAAGGATCTACAACCCAATTCATAGTTTGTACATCAAGATCTGAAAAGTAGGCAGAGAACCGCTCTCTGAGTTTGATAAGATGAAATTAGAAAAATTACCCTAAAAAAATCATTTTTACCCCATTTTGGGTAATTTACCCCGGTTCCCCGACCGCTGTCATAGATGGTTCACGTTTACTCATGTTTGATCCATCGAGTCTAAAAAAATATCATTGATTAGTTGTGATTTACATTTATTGAACAATAGATCAATTACCTCTCCAATGTTGTCCACATACTCTCTACTCATAGATGTTTCACGTTTACTCGTGTATGATCCATCGAGTCTAACGAAAATTAATAAATTTTCTTATCTTTATATTTTGGCCGCTTTTAGTTTTACATCCTTGGACGCAACAACTATAAACCATTCTAATACACAACTATATTAATTAAATTGTTCTTAGACCATACATATACATATATTATAAAGAATAATAGAAATGTTACTTACTTGCTTGTGTTCTTGACAATAGCGAAACAAAAATGGGCGAAATAAAACAAACTTACGCATAATCACGGATAACTTGAAAAAGTTTTGTAATCGTGAAACAAACGGAAGTAAACATTTGAAATAGTTCCGAGTGCTTCCGAACATCTCGAGTTCAACCGATTCGCTCTAAAAATCACTAAAAAAATCTTCTTCTCTTTAAACCAGCGGTCGGGGTAAATTACCCAAAATGGGGTAAAAATGATAATTTTTTTTGGGTAATAGGGACATTTTTCTAATTTCATCTTACCAAACTCATTTGCAACAACCTACCTTTGTGAACAAGGCTTTTCCACTC